TGCAAGGCTAACCCCTTGCAAAATTATTGAGTTTTTGCTCAAAAATGTGTGTGCTGAATTGGCATGAAAATTCCAAGAAAAAAATGCCTGGCCATATACAAACAGGTTATTTTACAAATTCGGGCTGAAAATTGAATTTGCTTGCAAACCGAGCACCTTACTAACACAACAAAATGAACACATAATTCCTACGTCGTTCTAATTTTATTCCTTTTGCAATTCCAGTAATACTGTGTGATTACAAATCGATATGCCCGAGACTCAGCGTTCAGGTTTCTACTGTCAAACTTTAACCCTCCCGATAACAGATATGACAGTTCGCAAATAAGTGGACCCTTGTTTGTTTTTTTTTGCTATTTAATCTTATCAGTGCTTTAAGTCTTGTGCACACTTTTGACAATGTCTGCGTGACGCAGAAGTGCAAATGTCAGATGACACATTGAAACGTCGTCTTCATCCGCTTTTCAACATGAATAAAGTACATGTACATGGGCACACGTTATTCCCCAGTGTGATTAACCAGTCATTCGACAACTGCCTTGCTGTTAGAAAGATCTTTAAAGAGGGTCACAAACTTCACAGTCACGGTGTCAATAAATATGCTGTCTTTGAATCAAAGTGGACAAATTTCCTTAGGACAAACATACAAGAGAGCACATGTCTGATTATGAACGAAGTAAAAGCATCGTCTTTCAAAATACGCTCTGGCTTAACATCAAATAATTTATGGCATACTTGTTCTGGAAAACAACAAAATGTAATCACAACATGTCAACCAAAGTCAGTGACAAGGACCTAGTACAGACATTCAAAAAACTTGAATTATGCACAAGTCAAATTTGCAACTCTCCCGATGTCGGTCCATCTGATTGCCAGCTGAAGTCAGAGATTGAGGAGTTGTTGGTTTCTTTATCTTGGTAGCAACATGCTTCAGACGGAATAGCAAAACTGTGTGTCCCATTTTCCTTGCAATTTAGGACTGTTATCATGTCATTATTACATTGGCAGTTTGGCAAAGCAGACTTCAAACAAGAACACGTTTTTAAGTTCATAAACCAATTTTCGATCAGTTGCAGATGAATAAAGTGCCTTTGACAAAATTATTGGGGGAAAAAGGGTATAAATCAGGGTAAGCACCTTCAAAGAAATAAAGAACACTACAGAACAGAGAAAAGATTCAGTTCATTGAACAATAATTTTTCCAATAGCTTGGTTTTGAATAATTTATTCCATTACATTGTCAACTTCTGATTATCATGATATTTGACAATGAGAATCATGTAGTCATTACTTGCATCTTTACATGTCATTTTGGTACCTTAATGATCAGGCCACATTTTTGCCACAATTTGCACACTTTCCCACAAAGGTAGAGGGGGCAGATATCAATCTGCCAGAAAGAAACACATTTTGAATATCCATGATGCAGACCATTCAAAACGCTGGCGTAGATTTTACTCGAGACTGTACGCTTGCCAAATATGGTGTTCAACCGAATCCTTTTGAACTGCCTTGCATCCACAAAATGTGACTCGGTCTGTGAAAATGAGACATAAGGCCGTTCCTTTCCGTCACCTTGCTCCAGTTTGCTTTAGAGAGAGCAAGCTGAGCCCTGTTTTGATGTAGCACTCATAAGAAGTTGTGCCAGAAGTTGTTGATTTCCACGGGGCCTCTAACACCTAAGTGGCTCTGGCGACTTGTGCCTCATTTGCACAGATTGGAGCACCAATGGTGATGCAATAGTACCGTCAAAAGGTAACAAGTAACATTCATCTACTGAGGAGAAAAAAGTGTACAATTTCGTCCCAAAATGTCCCTGAAATGCTACACCTTTTTTCTGGAGCCATGCACCTTAAACCTAAGAGAGAGTTCCGAATTATGCTACAATGTACAATGTACGTACACTTTGGAATCAATACTACACGTACAAATACATCCCATCTCCTTAAAATTTTTTGCCAATAAGGGTTGCCAGTCCAAGGTGCAATGTCAAAAAAGCTAATATCACAGCTTAATGTTTGTGACTGCTCCGCAAAGTGACTCTGTTCTAATAATGGCCTCTGAAGTCCAGTAGGTTGGACGAGATTGGAACTGTTCCGTCAGATGGAAGTTAAGCCAGCTACGCGAAGCTTGCTGAATGAATGGTGTAGTGGATGAGCGTCAAAGTACTATTCCCACACAGACAGGACTATTTATTACCCAATGGCGGCAAAGAGAGAGGAGTACATGTACGACACACTGCATGCCTTAGTTTGTGCACATTCTGATGAAATTTAGTCGCACTAATGGCAGCTGTCGACCATTTCCCATAGGCGCTGGGGCTATTTCCAGCTCTAGTCACGTGATTTTTGGCATGGCATCAACTCTC